TTATGCGTAGGCTGTTGGAGACCATCTTAGTACACAGCCGCAGCAGCAGCGTAGCGAGATTCCTTGGGAGCCACGGAGCAAGGCTAAAGGCTTAGCAATAGCATGTGTCATCGGGAGATGGCCTAGTTCAGGAGGTGTGCAGCGTCGTCAACAGGGGCGGAGCTAGAGCCAATGCGAGGTGGTACGCTTGCCTTGTGGGTGTATAGGATTTTAACATAATGGGAGTATGATGAAAATTTGATCATAATCACTGTTGTTTGATATTTTTGTGGGTGCACCTGCACCTGGTACGATGTATATAGATCCGCCCATGGTCGTCAAACCCGTCAAGGTGCGTGAAATGAAGGAAATTGGATCATGTGCTTGTGTGTGTTTTTTTTCATATTAGTTGAAGTTTAACCAAAAATTTATTTGAAGTATATTAGTTGAAGGAAATTGGATCAAAGCCGTCAATAGCATATTAGTTGAAGGAAATTGGATCATGTACTTATTTAGTTGAAGTTTAACCAATATTATTCCAAGTCATAGCTCGTGTGTATTTCTTCTCACTATAAGTATTTTTATAGTAAGTTAGAGACATAAATATTAGTACTATTCATAACAAATTTGGTTAAACTTCAACTAATTTGACTTGCACAAGTACAATTGTTGCTTTCGTCGTGGTCGACGGCTTCGATTCGTGTCGTCTACGGCGAGGAGCATCCCAGCGGGGCGGACGGGCGGTCCTCCTGCTATTTTTATGCCGGGAGGAGGGAGGGAAAAATCAAACGGGTCATCGATTCCAAGCTGGTGAGGAATTCGATCCCGACTCGCTTCCCGTTTTTTGACGTTAACCGACTCGCTTCCCGGTGGGCAAGCCCGCGTAATCCCGTTTGCCAGCCCGCATTCCCACAACGGGTCTATGCGGCTGCATGATCCGCGTAAGCCCGCGGCACCGCTCCAACCCGCACCACCGCAAATGCCGCGTTGCCGCATAAGCATGCCATGCCGCCGCACTAAACACCACCACCGTGTGAGAGCACTCCGTCGCCAACGCGTAGAGGGTGAGCGAGACCTGAACCTGCCCGACGAACGGCCGCAGCGCAGCAAAGTGCCGGATCAGCGAGGAAGAGGCAAATGGCCGCGAGCACGGCGACTGTCCTATCGGCCAGCGGAGGGCCGACGGGACCTTGCCGTACGTGCCAACCCCTCCGGTTTCTTATCGGCTACAGTATATACTGCTACATTTGTAATTAATCATTAAAAATTATTATTTAAAAAAAATCCGACTTATCGGCCAGCAGTTGGCGACATGTCCTTCCGTACGAGCCAACCCCTCTAGCTTCTTATCGGCTACTGTATATACCGCTACATTTGCAATTAATTATAAAAAATTATTATTTAAAAAAAATTTCCGACTTATTGGCCAGCGGAGGGCCGCCAGGTGCCTGCCGTACGAGCCAACCAAGTCAGACTGTCAGTCATGTCATCTACTACTACCGATTCAAGTCGCTTTCTTTCAGCTTGCAAAGTGCAATATAATGCGTCGTCTTGCCTTGCCTCTAGGCCTCTAGGTTCTAGAGTGTGTGTACTACGTCATGCATGAAACATTCAACTGCTGCAGCAGGGAAGTTACGTACGTGCGACGCTTGTTATTACGCAGCTAAGCTAGCGGCGGTGGCGTCTCAATGAATGAACACATATACAAATAAACTGTCATATATCATCAGTGGAGACGGGTTCCTTGCATGTGTACTCTACACGTATGTACGGTATGCAAATATGGGATGGGACGTCGTAAAAGCAACCTCAAACGGAGTTAACAAACAGCAGCCCTGAACTGATCCGGCCTGTTGGTTCAAGCTTGAATGAAACTCGATCGGTCGTATATGCATATGCAGTTCAATTTGGAAACCAAATAATCGGGTGCAACGACCATTTCAATATATATCAATAAATAAAATCCGCTGCATCCGATTAGCAGGCGACGCAAGTGAAAACTGTCTACGTACTGCCCAGGCATAAACTCCATGATCCGGAGATCCCATGACAGGCAGGTACATGAGGGACGTGACTGGTTGCCTGCATATGCCCCAGCCAGGCTGGTGCGATGCAGGTCTGTGCTGTTTCGTTGTCTGTACAGCCTTTTGAACTTGGCCGGCTCTGCTCATGTAAAAAGGCGCCCTCAGCCTGGCTCTCGAGATACTCAGGTTCTGGGCGTTTCTCCAAAGCCAAGCTCGCCAGATGTGCAATTAATGAGATGATGACGTTGTTAGTGTATGATTAGCATATATTAATTGATATTAGTGTATTTTCAAACAATATTAAGGAATAAAAACATGAATTAAGAGCTCTAAAAGATAATTGCATATATATATATATAATAAATATGGTGATGATGGTTATTTGCTTAATTTTTTAATATTGTATTTTCTAACAATATTAAGGAATAAAAACATGAATTAAGGAATAAAAACATGAATTAAGGAATAAAGTCGTTGCCCTAGGCATTGTTACACTACACAGGCCTAAAATATGGAGAACTCATCCTAACATATAGTAACATATATATGATAAACTCTGCCACTGGCAAGTTCAGATCAACAGTCAACACTGCCGAGCTCACTAAGACTCAACACAGTCAACAAGAATGCATGCAATGCAACTCACCGCCGCTCTTGCTTGACACTGCCTGCTCTGCCATTGACAAGCTCTTCTTGTGTAAACGCATGACCGTGGAAATAGACTTGAGGTGCAAGTTTTACTGGGGAGGTTGTGCGACTGTGCGGCAGAGTGCACGCTTGCGCACTGTATTACCCATTGCAAGGTATGGGTCGCGCTGTGCAAAAGGGTTGCATACCTAAAAGTTGCCTTCTCCAACAGCAGACGCAAAAGAGAAACCCGGAACTGCAACTGCCGCCGCCATCGTGTAGGTGCAGCGGCGGCGCCCCCTCTCCCAGCCCCCAAGCAGCGTCGGCGCCCCCTCCCCGGCCCCCAAGCAGCGGCGGCGCGCGGTTCCCAGGGGTGAGCCTAGGGCCGTTGGGGCTACTCTTGTGAAGGTCGACGACAGAGGATCTGACTCCTTGCCTCGTCTCCACCTCGCCTCCTACGGGCCCATCATGGTCGACGGCGCCAGATATTTGGGTTGCGACGGAGAGAGCAGGCTTAGTTGGGTTTCCCCTCGCCTTGCACGCAAAATAGGTCCTTTGTTTGCCTACCCTGTTGGACCGTGTTTTTTCCCGTGATCAACGAATTTTGGGTTTAGGTAGCCTTATGCGTAGGCTGTTGGAGATCGTCTTAGTATTACCAAGCAGCAAAGAAGCAGCAATCAGCAATGAGATTCCTTGGGAGCCACAGAGCAAGGCTAAAGGCTTAGCAATAGCATGTGTCATCGAGAGATGGCCTAGTTCAGAGGTGTGCTGGCGTCGTCAATAGGGGCGGAGCTAGAGCCAATGCGCGGTGGTGGTACGCTTGCCTTGTGGGTGTATAGGATTTTACCATATGGGTGCAGTATGATGAAAATTTGATCATAATCACTGTTGTTTGATATTTTTGTGGGTGCACTGCACTGATACGATGTATATAGATCCGCGCCCATGGTCGCCAAAGCCGCCAAGGCGTGCGTGAAATGAAGGAAATTGGATCATGTGCTCGTGTGTTTTTTTTTTCATATTAGTTGAAGTTTAACCAAAAATTTATTTGAAGTATATTAGTTGAAGGAAATTGGATCAAAGCCGTCAATAGCATATTAGTTGAAGGAAATTGGATCATGTACTTATTTAGTTGAAGTTTAACCAATATTATACCAAGTCATAGCTCGTGTGTATTTCTTCTCACTATAAGTATTTTTATAGTAAGTTAGAGACATAAATATTAATACTATTCATAACAAATTTGGTTAAACTTCAACTAATTTGACTTGCACAAGTACAATTGTTGCTTTCGTCGTGGTCGACGGCTTCGATTCGTGTCGTCTACGACGAGGAGCATCCCAGCGGGGCGGACGGGCGGTCCTCCTGCTATTTTTATACCGGGAGGAGGGAGGGAAAATCAAACGGGTCATCGATTCCAAGCTGGTGAGGAATTCGATCCCGACTCGCTTCCCGTTTTTTGACGTTAACCGACTCGCTTCCCGTTGGGCAAGCCCGCGTAATCCCGTTTACCAGCCCGCATTCCCACAACGGGTCTATGCGGCTGCATGATCCACGTAAGCCCGCGGCACCGCTCCAACCCGCACCACCGCAAATGCCGCGTTGCCGCATAAGCATGCCATGCCGCCGCACCAAACACCACCACCGTGTGAGAGCACTCCGTCGGTAACACGTAGAGGGTGAGCGAGACATGAACCTGCCCGACGAACGGCCGCAGCGCAGCCTAGTGCCGGATAAGCGAGGAAGAGGCAAATGGCCGCGAGCACAGCGACTGTCCTACACTATAACACAACATACCTTTGCCGACACTTTTTATAGTGGACAAAGGGTACCTTTCCCGACAGATAACCTCTCGCGAAAGGTTTTGCCGACAGTTTAGAAACAGTCGCGCTATAAGCCGTGGGCAAAACTTTCGCCGACAGTTAAAGGAATCGCCGACACTTTTTGTGTTGCCAAATGGTGGACCTACGCCGACAGTTGAAACCTTTGCCGACAGTTAAGCCTTTGCTGACAGTTAAGACCTACGCCGACAGTTTGAACCTTTCCCGATAGTTTGTGTGTTGGCGAAACCATTTTCAAGGTATTTTGTGAATCATGCCCTGTCCAACAACTAAACTATCGGCAAAACTGTACTGTAGATATAGATATAAATACAATTTGAATAATTTGACAAATCCATTGTTATTCATATAGAAGGAAAATCTCAATTCTTAGGAGCTAGATAGAGTTGATTCATTTTTGAAAAACAGTGTTCTCATCAGGTCTGCAAAACATGACATAGACGTTCTGAACTTGAGACGACTAACAAAAAAGCCAGAGTAATATTTAATAGGCCACACATTTCCGCGGAGGACCATCCATGAGAATGCTCTAAGCTGCAGCGCCCTTGCCCTTCTTGTGCTGAAGCTTCTTCATGTAGAACTCAAGCTCTTTACCCTCAAGGATGTACCTGTTATACAAAAAAGAAAAGTGTATTGTAAGGAGCTGCCTGCAATATAAGATATAATTGAAAATAAGGGGACAACTTCCATTCTACTTGAAGCCTAGAAGGATAAATTTGTGACAGCTGCCAACATATCTAAAATGTCTAGACTCACAGTGATTGTAACATAAAGAGTATAAACAAACATTAAGCTTTAAGCTACAAAACTTAAATGGTACACAAACAGATAAGCTGCTCTAACAAAAACAAAGAAAGTCTGGTGGAAGTCCATTATTTCTTACCCATCAGCTCGGCCACACTGTCCAGGGCGGGAAGAAATGCACCCCAGCAAGCTTCCACTGCCAAATTGCTCTTCAATGTGAGCGTCAAGCTCACGTCCCTTCTGACGCTCCTCAAGCTTCCTCCTGACATGGTTGCTCTTCTTTGTTTCCTCGGCTGCTGCCTCACCCTCTTGTCCCTGGATGAATGAATCTCAAACAATAAGCGATCCACCAGAGGAAACATAACAGACACTAAAGATAGAAAACTAATTAACTATAGATCTCTGCTTTATGGAAATACTTCAAGCAAAATATATTAATAAAAACAATCAAATTTAACATTTTTCATACAGAAATCTAAAACTCATAGTGCAAAAACATGCAATTCAAATGTGAACAGCATAGTATCCAATGATACAGGGAGGCTATGCAGCACAGTTCATAACTAATTCTTTAAAGTTTACTACAAAATTAAATTGTCTCAACAGATATACAAAATAGCAGGAGTTCGATCACATGCTGTCAGTAGCAATGCTTTGCTAAGCTGAAACACTCGGGTTCACAAAGGGTTGAAGAAATACTATTCCATAAGTAAATATCAGAGGCTAAACACAAGCTGTTGCAGAAGCCCTTTCTGGAATGTCAATCAGATCCCCTTCCAGGTCAATAGCTATGACCAGTTTGAGCTAGATAGAGATGCTTTGGACCCTCCTACCTTGAAATTCTTGGCAACATGTCACAGCAAATTACCCTCCGAGAAGTGCCATGATAACAGATTTAAGATAACCAATATGCTGAAGAATACTTTTCTGTAGATGTTAGCAAAATAATAGTGTTGTATTCTATCATGTTTCTAAGCATCCGGCAAAACTAAAGTTCAGAAGTCTACCTTACAAGCATCTTCATCGTGAAACTTTGTTGCTAGCGTGTTGCCTCTGCAATGTTCAGATCGAGTGCCCCTTGATGTCAACACAACACCTTAGAACCACCTTTGGACTGTTCCACCATTTGAACAGGCATATCAACTACAAAAGCAATTTGCAAATCTACATTTAGCTGCAAAAATTGCTTTAGACCACATGCAGCTGAAAGGGATGCATGTCTTTTCTGTAGAATTGGGTAAGACTAGTTGCAGACCTCTTTAAATGCATGTTGTCATTGTAGTGTTGGGGAAGTTAAGAACAAGAAAACAGCGAGTTACCACAAGATGCATAGAACGATTTGTTACCCAACCAAGGTTGAAATCAAATAAAATCTCTGTTATATTGGTTGAGACTGTGATCATTGTTTATAAAAACATCCATTAAAGAAAGAAAGGAACTAGCTAGACTTCTGTGACGCCTGGCGAATCTGGGTGGACCGGGCTACGGTCTACCACCCTGAGTCTAGTGGCCAAGTTGAGCATGCCAACGGGCTGATCCTACAGGGGATCAAAACCCGCATCTACAACGAGCTCAAGATTCATGTCGGACGATGGGTGGATTATTATAGTCTTGTGCTAACTGATCATTAGCAGCTCTAAACTTAAAATCAGCCCAGCAGTATGTTCATTAAAATAAAAGCATTATTATAGAACATTAACACTTGCTATATCAAATGATACCAACAGTATCTTTAGCTTTAGCTTTCAGAGCATATCAATTGCCTCCTTGTCCAGCTCCCGCCCCTGCTCCTGAATGATTAGCTCATATTTTTTAGCCTGCATGTTCAACTCGTGCAGCATCTTGCATTAGCATTAAGGAATGTATGTAACACCAGATGTCCTGCATAAACATGAGGAAAAAAAATCATCACAGTACGTTGCATTAGAATGAAATCATCACAGGTGTTTTGGGCACCACTATACAAATGTCAACCAAAAAGTTAGCTACAGGGATATAATAGATTTCATAACTGAAATTCCTACATAAAGCAAAATGCTAAGTTTAATGCATGATAGCGGACTGGACTGCCCAAACCTAGGCTCTCATATGTGCTTGTATTTTCTTTCAAAAACAAATATATCTCCAATTGTTCAACAATGATGTGATACTAGTGTCATCTGCCCATTTAATTTTTGAAAAATTGGATGTAACAGGTGTAGATGCTTATTATGATGAATTGGTATGTGTTTCTTACGATGTTGCCTTATAACAAGCTAATATTGTTCACTTCTTTGCCAATTGCAAGGGCAAAAGACAGCAGAAAACATCCCATGTCAATCGGGTTCAGCAAAAACAAGTCCACATGACCACATGTATGTCATTGATGATGTGTGGCTTTAACTTCAGAGGAATGAAGTAGAGGACTGCAATCAATGTATGTGCAGGAAATTTTAACAAGAAAATAATGGGGTTTTTTTTCTATGGATTGCACAAATCTAAGCCTTTTGATTGAACTCAGCTATATGTGCAAATGCTTTTCAGAAAGAAAGAAAGAAACAATAATAGCTTGTCAGTGCTAGCTAACCATTATGAAACCTAATAGTGCATGAATTGCGACAGAGTAATAGACAGTATTGGTCACAAAGAATATTTACCTTCAAACTTTGAGTTACCAGGAATAAAAATATTCACACAATTCTCTTGCAGCATTGTAGGGAATCCACTGATCTGTGCAGCAATCATGGAACAAGATTGTTATGGGTCTCCACCGGCCAGTCATCTGAGAAAACAGATGTCTTTGGTTTTGGAATCCTGCTGCTGGAGCTGATCAATGGTCAGACGGCACTGGAGTTTGGGAAGTCATCAAATCAGAAGGGAGCCATGTTAGACTGGGTAAGTTAATGCAATATCAGTTTAATATGGTCTACATAACTTGTTGTTTTATTCTTTGACCTGCCAATGCCCCATTCTAGTTTCTGACCCTTGGGAGGAATTCCAATTATATAGACAAGCTAGTTAGAGGTTTACTAGCTACTCCCAAAGGGACATTGATGCTGTTCAGGGAGTAGTTTACTAGCAAGTAAACTAATAAATAATAAGTACCCTCCCAAAGTTAGGAATTCCCCTTAATAGAGAAGGCATGGCATATGATCATACCTGAGCTAACGGACATTGATGCTGTTCAGGTGAAGAAGATGCACCAAGAGAAGCAGCTGGACATACTTGTCGACAAGGGCCTGGGGAGCAAATATGACCGCATTGAGCTGGAGGAGATGGTGCAAGTGGCACTGCTATGTACTCAGTTCCTCCCTGGTCACAGGCCCAAAATGTCAGAGGTGGTCAGGATGCTGGAAGGCGATGGGCTTGCAGAGCGGTGGGAGGCGTCACAACACACTGAGTCACACAAATTCAAGGTGCCCGAGTTCTCCTTCAGCCGCTGCCACTCTGACCTGACGGATGACTCGTCGCTGCTGGTGCAAACAGTGGAACTTTCTGGGCCGAGATGATACCATTGGAGACGGTCTGAGGCAAGAAGTATTCAGCAGTTGTTTCCCAGTAGAATATGTAAATACTACAAAGTGAAGCAACTGATGCTGCATCCTGTCAGAAATCGAAGCAGATCTCAATCAGCTGAACTGTACAAAGATTAAAAAAAGAGCACAACCTAGTCTAGGCATGGTACATTACTACATCTACAGGTTATGTAACTGTTGGTAGAATAAGACCATAGAGCAATATTTCCAATTTCTAATGTAATATTTTTTTGTATTTTTTCTTTATATTCTATTACTCTAGTTATAATTTGTAAAAAGCAAAAACTTTTCCCATTGGAATGCAGAGGCTTGGAAGTGTCCATGTTGTCTGTGCATTGGTCAACTCTCCCAGATTGTTGTTGAAACTCAACTTCTGTCCTACATCTATACAAATACAAAATCTTCACCAGAAAATAGCAAATATTTTGCGTGGATATCTGACTCCATGTAACAGAACAATGTATGATGGCAATAAAGGAAGAGGCACACATCAAATCGTTTATACTCTCACCTAAACCACAGGTCTTTGACAGGCTAAGATTGAAGATCAACCATATTTTCTGACCGCGTTTGGTACAAAGGGGAAAAGGTGGAGGGAGAGAGGATCTGGGGGAGGAATTAGGAGACCGAGGAGGAGAGGAAGAGGGTGACGTACCGCCAGATTCAGCGGGCGAGGTAAGGCACCACCGCCGCCGGCGATGACGAGGCCACGCACAAGCTTGGTCGGCTGGCCTGCGTCGGTCGTGGCTCGCGATGCATCCGGCGTCATTGAGATGAGGCAGCTAGGGTTTCGTCGACCACAGTAGCACAGGCGGATCGGTGGAAGGAGGCAGCGCCGGGTGGCACCCGCGCCGGCAGCCACCGGCGGGCCCCAGGCGCGTCGCCGAGGAGGGGCGCTGTCAGCCGTGGCCGGGGCGGCCACCCTCCGCACCGACGCAACACCCGGCGGGGGGCGCCGTCGGCCCGCTCGGCCACGAGGCTTGAGGACGGCGTGGAGAAGGAGGAGGAGGAGGAGGAGGGCAGCCGCCGCCGCGTCGAGGGCCGGCGCTGCCGAGGTGCGGTGGCGCTGCCGTGGCCGCGTCGGTAGAGCTGGGGAGGGAGAGAGCGCGCGCTACGGGAAAGGAAGAGACGGAAAGAGAGAGAGAGGGAGAGAGGGGAGGGGAGGATATATTTTTACCCAGCGCGGGTACTCTTTGGCCGACACTTGCACAGTTGCTCTGTATAGGCTACGCCGACACTTTCTAAGTCTTCTAATTTTTGCCGACACTTTTTCTGCCAGCAGAGAAACGCCGACAGATAATTGGTAGTCTTACAGTCTTATTGCCGACAGATGATTAGACATTAAAACGATATACAATTGCCAACACATAATATGTCGTCCAAACCTGTCTTTTGCCAACACATAAGTGTAGGCAAATGTGTGTCATGGTGTAGTGCTATCGGCCAGCGGAGGTCCGATAGGACCTTGCCGTACGGGCCAACCCCTCCGGCTTCTTATCGGCTGCTGTATATACTGCTACATTTGCAATTAATTATTAAAAAAATATTATTTGAAAAAAAATCTGACTTCTCCAGCAGCAACGGCGGCGGCACCAGCGTCAACACGGACGACGCCTCCGCCATGCGCGCTTTCATTCGTTTTACTGGCGGGCGGGACTGCCGCATGTGCCCGGACGTTTGCAAGCAAGCGGCGCGTGCGGACACGGGACGGTCTACCCGTCGCCGCGCCGTTTGCAACCATAGATGGGACATGGGAGGCGATGCCCTGCGCAGATGGGGTCGATGGATGCATGAACCCAGCAGGCGCGGTTCCTCGAGAGTCGAGAGACATGTGGGGTCGGAAATGCAGTAGAAGAAGGAGGCGCTGGACGATGGCGTCTCTTGTAGTCTGGTGGCATGGCCGGATTACTTGCACTCGCTGCCCGCTGGAGCGCAGCGGCGACGGCCCTGGATCACCAGCGGCATGCATGGCAGCACCTGCTCGATCTGCCCGTTCCCTTCTTCTCCGCTAGACCACCACGTACGTTGGCGGCGTGGCGGCCGCCGGACAGCGAGACGGACGCCACGCTGGACATGCAGACGACTGTCCCTCTGGAACACAACAGCCAAGCCATAAGTAAAGTAAACCATTTTTACTTTCTGAACGAACCGAAAGTCTGAAACATGTCTGATTGAGCCCTTTTTCCTACTATAATCCCGACACCTGATCCGCATGCCTTGATTGACCAATGTCAGGCAAATCGATGGACCTGCTTCTCCGATACCTCCTTCCGGATGTATGGCACTGTATGCTCCAACTCCAACCGGCTCTCCTCTTGGCTAGCCAGATTATATTGATCGTCGATAATCACCTCGACTACTCCTGGTCATCTGTCATCACAAGATACTATTACTACACGAGTCAAGACTTTGCCCTGTTCACCAGGCTCAACAGTCAACAACAACAATGCATGCAACTCACTGCCGCTCTTGCTTGACACTGCCTGCTCTGCCATTGACAAGCTATCCT